AGAAGGGGGGGGGTGGGGTGGGTGGGGAGGGGGAGATAAGAGCATAGGGAGTGCGAAAAAATACAATCAGTAACGAGTAACGACGACAACAAAACATGGGAGGTTGTTGATTTTCATTTCTACAGATTGAACGTCAGGGATGTAGCCCTACGGATGTTTAATGGCTTACTATTTTTCCTCTTCTACCACCAATAAAAATAGAACTTGAGCTAAAGGTCCCTTCCCACCTAGATGATTCTATGATATCCTTCTCAAAATATTTTCACTAAAAGTGTCAAGAGTACAAGGATGCAGGTCAGTTCTAAGAAATCTTCTCAGTAATTCTATTAATCCAACAGTAGTTATTCTCCTCATGCTAGAGCTAAAGGAGTCACAGAATGAAACAAAATAAAAAAATATAGAACCCCCTCTGTCTCTAGTGAAGACTATATGCTTGTTTGGTTAAGGATAGTGTTTATAATACAATTAGTTCATTGTCAAAAATATAACTAGGCTGCTTCTGGACAGGAGAAGCAAACCAGGAACACTGATTGGGAAGCGCTTCAGCCTCTCCACAAGATTCCTAACACTCTGCAGAAGTTTTCTTGAGGCAAGACCTATCTCTGTAGAGATAAAGCTGAAGTCTAACAGTGATTCTCAAGCTTACCTGATACTCAAAAGAACACATGTGCAATATTCACTGAAAATTAAATGAAAATTGACCCTGAGAACATCCTAAAAACCAAACTGGGCCCACATGACGTGTGTTTAGTACAGTGTCAGCACCTAGTTATGTTAATGACTGAAGACGAAAACAGTAGGGAAACAGATCAATGCTGCACTACGGTGTCAAAAGGGATCACTTTCCTTGTGATCATGAACTAAAAGAGCAGTTTGAATGAGCAAATTCAGGATTAACAAGCTAGTCAGGACAATATTTATTCCCTCTAATGTACACATACAAAGCTTAGCCCCACTATCCCCTTCCAAATTCCTGCCTCCTGCTTTCTCTTACGTTCTTTGGATGAAACATGGACGAGGCAAAAGGAGAGGCCTCAGACCCCGAGACAGTTCAGTTGGTTGCATCCTTTACAGGCAAAGCACATCTTTCTCAGTGGTCAGGTCGCTTGTTTTCAGAGAGGTAACACCTTCTATTTCTCCCACTCTCATCTGGACACCCAAATTTTCTTGTTTGAAATTCAGTTATGCACTATTCTAGCAACTTTATCGGAGATACCGGTTTGAGATCAGAAACCAAGCTTTGAGTGTGGTATGAAGCACTGCGAGGCTGCATAATGTCTATTTATGCCTCTCTGTGATGACCTAAAACCTCTGCTGGGCTCTGGATCCAGTGCCACTGGGCTCACGTCAGAGTCACACTGCACAGACAACAACCACAACTTCTTTGAGAAGTGGTTCCTTGACTCCTCCTATACACTTCCATCATCATCCCGAATATGGAGAGCTACTGATGACATGAGGCCCTTGAACTTCCCAGGAGCACTCAGAAACAACATCTGTGGAGTCTGTGGAAACAATGTCTGAGGGTGGTGAGAGCCTGGCCCAGGTTGCCCAGAGAAGCTGTGGCTGCCCCATCCCTGGAGGGGTTCAAGGCCAGGCTGGATGGGGCTTGGAGCAACCTGGTCTGGTGGGAGGTGTCCCTGCCCAGGGCAGGGGGGTTGGGACTCAATGACCTTTGAGGTCCCTTCCAACCCAAACCATCCTATGATTCTATGAGTCATTCCACAGTCCTCTTGAGGTCCCTTCCAACCCAAACCATTCTATGATTCTGTGAGTCATTCCACAGTCCTGAAGTGCTTTATGCCACCCTCTGTTGCTTCTCTGGTGGTTGGGGGTTGGTTTTCTTTTTTTCCCCCCAATTTCTCCTTATATTGAAGCCCCCACACGTACCTTTGTGCCACTCCTTTCTCACTCGTTTCTAATTCTGCCTATTCTTACAGGGCAAAACCAAAGCCGAGTGATAAATGTACAAGTGTGTCATTGATTCACCTGTAATCTATACCAATTCCTCTAAAACCCCCTTATTTCAGCCAAATTCATCTGCTTCTTAGTGTCTGTTCCCCCCAGCCCGCTCATTTTCTTCTTCATCTAATAGGACAGACAAAAAGGGTTTACAAACAGTTATCCTTTCCCAATCTGTTATTTCAAGCTCTCAGAGACAGCTTCTACTCCCGTGAGACACGCATATTGACTATTTTGATGTCATTAAGCCTTGGCTAATGAAGCATATTATAAATCTGCCCGATTTAGAGAAGGACACTCATAACAGAGCCCCTATTTACACACACTGACTGAGAATACACCTTTTAAAATGAAAAGCCATCTTTTGCTGAAGATGCAAGCATTATTGACCACATTTAAGTAGACGTGACACCGTCAACAGCAAACTACGTGTGTAATTATATGCTCAAATTTTTCAATACACAAGCTGTGCTACAAACCCTACTAAAAATTATTATAGTGTTGTTGGAGCGTGATGGGGTGTGGTGGTTATTGCCTTCAGGTAAACACTAGGAAAGAAACTAAAGTGAGAAAGAAACACTGTCTTGTACTCCTTCATTTTAAGCACTCTAGTTTATAGAATCATAGAATCATAGAGTTGTCCAGGCCGGAAGGGACCTCCAAAGGCCATCTAGTCCGACCCCCCCACAGTCAGCAGGGACACCCCCAACTAGACCAGGTTGCCCAGGGCCTCGTCGAGCCTCTCCTTGAATATCTCCAGGGAAGGGGCCTCAACCACCTCCCTGGGCAACCTGTTCCAGTGCTCCACCACCCTCACAGTGAAGAACCCTCTCCTCATCTCCAGTCTAAATCTGTTCCCCTCCAGCTTGAAGCCATTGCCCCTCGTCCTGTCACTGCAGGCCTTTCTAAACAGGCTCTCCCCAGCCTTCCTGTAGGCTCCCTTCAGGTACTGGAAGGCTGCTCTTAGGTCTCCCCGGAGCCTCCTCTTCTCCAGGCTGAACAACCCCAGCTCCCTCAGCCTGTCCTCGTAGCAGAGGTGCTCCATCCCCCTGATCATCCTTGTGGCCCTCCTCTGGACCCTCTCCATCAGGTCCATGTCCTTCTTCTATTGAGGGCTCCAGACCTGCACACAATACTCCAGGTGAGGTCTCACCAGAGCAGAGTAAAGTGGCAGAATCCCCTCTCTGGACCTGCTGGCAACGCTTCTTTTGATGCAGCCCAGGATGGGATTGGCCTTCTGGGCTGCAGCTGCCCACTGCCTGCTCATGTCCAGCTTCTCCTCCACCAGCACCCCCAAGTCCCTTTCCTCAGGGCTGCTTTCCAATCCCTCACCCCCCAGTTTGTATTGGTGGCGAGGATTGTTCCGGCCCAGGTGCAGAACCTTGCATTTGCTCTTGTTGAACCTCATGAGGTTCACCTGGGCCCACCTCTCCAGCCTGGCCAGGTCCTTTTGGATGACATCCCATCCCTCTGGTGTATTGACAACACCACACAGCTTGGTATCGTCCGCAAACTTGCTGATGGTGCCTTTAATCCCCCTGTCTATATCATTGATAAAAATGTTAAACAGTATTGGCCCCAGCACGGACCCTTGAGGAACACCACTTGTGACTGGTTTCCATCTGGACTTTGAGCCATTGGGTACCACCCTCTGGATGTGACCATCCAGCCAGTTCCTTATCCACTGAACAGTCCACCCATCAAATCCGTACCCCTCCAGTTTGGCAATGAGGATGTTGTGGGGGACCGTGTCAAAGGCCTTACAGAAAGCAGTTTATGCTGCTTATTCTCTCTTTTGGAAAAACACTGCAAGAAAAAAAAGTATATTTTAGTGTGTGTGATTACCTACCGGAAGATGCAAAGTCCAGACTACATTGCTTTCAGGCATGATTTTCTGAGTTACTACTTAATAAATATTTTGACAGAGGCCTTTCTACTTACCTGCATTTGTGTTTGATCCTTGTAGTAGTACTGTCAAGGTCTCCATAACCAATAAAGCCAGCTGCTTTTGGTCCTCAAATGAACTGTTTCTTGAATCCCCTAAAAATATAATTTCAGAAGCCAAAGTCATAGTAAAATTCACTCTTTTCTAAGATGCTTCTCTATACTTTATACACCAGCACTTTTATTTTCTTTGCTTCCTCGGAGAATATGCAGCCTAACCATATTCCAAAGCAAATTAAGATTTAGTCTACACATGCATTCCTGGGAACTCTTAACTATGAATCATTTGAAAAGTTAATTTATAAAAACAAGACTATAAACAGAAGCTTTAGAGCGGTGTGAGCTCAGTGGCTGACACTGCAGCTGCATGTGTACTTTCATATCCCCAACTGTTGTTTCTTGAAGCCACAAAACCATACCACATTTGAAGACTTAACAGGATCTGGTTTTGTTAAGTATTCAGGACTTGAAAAAAGAAATTCCACACTAAAGCACAAACCTGCATTCACATAATTACAGTATATGTGCTGGTGATTCAACAGGTGTTAACAGATGAACCAACACTGCAAGTAGCATCTTAAACACAGAGTAACGCTCCAGAAAGAAACATTTTTTAAAAATTATTCTAATAAGAAGCAAGCCACAACACAAGGCCCTGTGCACCCAGGTAGCACCCTCATCAGATGACAGCTTGGTCTATTAGTTTACAAGAACGTGAGAAATGATGTGTTTTTTGCTGGAAAAAAAAAAAAAGCTTTGTAACTTTAATCAATTGCTACTGCTCACTAATGAAGCTCCAGAAAATAAACCCACATGAAACATCCAATAATAAAGATTAAGAAAATAAGTGCCACTTATTTGAGCACAGTAACTCAAATTAATGAAGAATGCAAGAAAAAAAAAAAATAAAAAGAGGTATCATGTGTGTATATATGCACATACAGCACTTGGCAGGCTAAGCAGCCTCGTAATTTATCTCTGAGATGTTCAATTCTGGAGTTGAGATAGCTGTTTATTTATTTATTTAAATGTTTCTCTAAAATGTAGACCCAACTTATTAAAAAAGTCTGCAAACTTGAATATGTACTCCTATTAAGATCTCAGATATGCCCTCTATAGTATTTTTTCAAACCTGGGGCTAAACACAATGAAAAGCACAAGTATCTTTTGTGAGGAGAAGCATAGTTACTACGCATTGCACCTTCACTTTTCCTTTCATTTTATGTAACAAATATTAAACCAATACATTAAAAAAAAATCTGAAAAGGAAAAGATCATTTTATGTAACAAATATTAAACCAATACGTTAAAAAAAAAAATCTGAAAAGGAAAAGATGTACTCCTACTATTTTGCATTCATTAAAGCTCGCCTCGAGCTTCTCGCAGGATGTGAAGAGAGAAGCAATTTCAAAGAACTTTTAAGATGGCACAGCAAAACCCTGGCAGAACCCAGCCCTTGAGATACGTGTTCAGACTCTCTTGTTCCTCCTCCTGAGTGCTAGCCTCCACCATTCCCAGCCAAAAAGACACGTTTTAGTAAAATGGAAGACCACACACTACCTTGATCATTCAGTGCTTGAGTGGGATCTTTCAGAAGGGCTGCATATTTATGAAGAAGGTTTACCATCACCTCCAGAAGCCCCACTTCCCTGAAGACATCCTTAAAGATGTAGTCGTGACGGGTGAACTTCAGGAGCGTCTTCGTGGCGATGATGCTACACTGAAAAGAAGTGCTGGATTTTAAAAGGATGCTCACGCTGATCAGTTCTTTACAGGGTATGTAGTTCAAGCTGAAGACAACAAATTCCAGCATCTCAAAGTATTTGGTCTGCACTTCTGGAAGTTTAGGAATTTTCTCCGCAAACTGAGACAACGTGTGCTGCGATTCCAAAATGAAGTAGTTGGCATTGTCCGCCATATAAATATTGGTGATGGCATCGAGGATGATTTGTGCTAGATAGTTGGTTTTTGCTCTCAAAAATGCGTTCTGGAGGACCGAAAATGCTTGAATATTCCTCACACTATGACCTAAATAAGGAAACAAAGCGGGATGGGAAGAAAAAAGAAAGAGAAAGATCTTAATTGTAATAAACAACGAGTACACTTTTTAATAACGATCATATAACAATGTATGTCATGTATAATAAAAAGTTTTAATAAAACCAACTCTTCTAAAAAGCCTCTGCACAATCACTTACACTGCAAATCCTACAGTATACTGTTCATGAAGGTGACATCTTCATCTTCATCTAGAGAGGTGATTCTGCCACTTTACTCTGCTCTGGTGAGACCTCACCTGGAGTCTTGTGTGCAGGTCTGGAGCCCTCAATAGAAGAAGGACATGGACCTGATGGAGAGGGTCCAGAGGAGGGCCACAAGGATGATCAGGGGGATGGAGCACCTCTGCTACGAGGACAGGCTGAGGGAGCTGGGGTTGTTCAGCCTGGAGAAGAGGAGGCTCCGGGGAGACCTAATAGCAGCCTTCCAGTACCTGAGGGGGCTACAGGAAGGCTGGGGAGAGCCTGTTTAGAAAGGCCTGCAGTGACAGGACGAGGGGCAATGGCTTCAAGCTGGAGGGGAACAGATTTAGACTGGAGATGAGGAGAGGGTTCTTCACTGGGAGGGTGGTGGAGCACTGGAACAGGTTGCCCAGGGAGGTGGTTGAGGCCCCATCCCTGGAGATATTCAAGGTGAGGCTCGATGAGGCCCTGGGCAACCTGGTCTAGTTGGGGGTGTCCCTGCTGACTGCGGGGGGGTCGGACTAGATGGCCTTTGGAGGTCCCTTCCGGCCTGGGAAATTCTATGATTCTATGATTCTATGATCTTTGAACTTAACTGTTTACACAGGCAGCTAAATAAAAGAACATTTCTTTAAAATAGGTGAGCTGACCTATTGTTAAAACATGCAACAAGGTACAGTTATAGAGACAAAACAAAACCCGCCTCATCTACACAGGCCATAAGAAAACTCATTACAGCAATAGTAACATGCTCTGTGTTCCATCACGCAGAACACAACGCTGTCTTCTCCAAGTGTTCAGCAGGCTAAGTTTGGAATAACAACCATCTGTATCCCCTCACTCAACAGAGCAACAAGCAATGGCAAATCCTCATCAGCTGGGTTCAAATCTAGACAACATCCCCAAATTATCCTCTTGCTTCCACTCTTTGGCAATCGCAGTTGTCTTCTTTCCATTGAGGAGTAGCCTGTGTTGGTGGCGTTGCCCACCAGGGATCCAGCGGAGGGCCACAAAGAAGAAGAGAAGCTTCAAGAGAAGTGTGGCCAGCAGGTCACGGGAGGTAATTCTCCCCCTCTACTCGGCACTCGTGAGACCCCACCTGGAGCACTGCATCCAGCTCTGGAGTCCTCAGCACAAGAAGGACATGGACCTGTTGGAACGGGTCCAGAGGAGGGCCACGAAGATGCTCAGAGGGCTGGAGCACCTCTGCTGTGAGGACAGGCTGAGAGAGCTGGGGCTGTTCAGCCTGGAGAAGAGAAGGCTCCGGGGAGACCTTAGAGCAGCCTTCCAATATCTCAAGGGGCTACAGGAGAGCTGGGGAGGGACTCTTTGTCAGGGAGTGCAGTGACAGGACAAGGGGGAACACTTTTAAATCGGAAGAGGGGAGATTTAGATGAGATACCAGAAAGAAATTCTTTGCTGTGAGGGTGGTGAGACACTGGAACAGGTTGCCCAGGGAAGTTGGGGATGCCCCATCCCTGGAGGGGTTCAAGGCCAGGCTGGATGGGGCTTGGAGCAACCTGGTCTGGTGGGAGGTGTCCCTGCCCAGGGCAGGGGGGTTGGGACTCGATGATCTTTGAGGTCCCTTCCCACCCAAACCATTCTATGATTCTATACCTCCATGATAAAAGACCATGGTACTTAGCACTGTTTTTGCAACAGAAGCCCTCCCCACAGGCTGTAACACAGCATTTTATTTTGATTGTCAATTTCCCCCAAAACAAAGTGAATTCAGTTCTCTTTGTGATCAGCCTCACCCCCTTCCCTGCCTCCAAAAGCATTCCTCCAAAAGGTAACAGCAAACTTCCTTCAAAACTAACATGGAACAATTTCAGATACAGGAAGAATACGAATGTTAAATTATAAGTCACAACCATTAGTTTCTAAAAGGATTTTTTACATGCTTTCTTTACAATGAAAAACGTTGAAAAGGGGATTTACAGCTTATTAAATGTGGCAGGAATATAGGTAGTGACAGATTCAACTATTTATATTCTAATTTTGTATCAACAGTTGTTCCAAGCAATCAAGCAGATTAATAAATTATCTTTGATTATTACGAGGACCCTTGAAGAAACCGAATCTTAACCAGCTCCTCAGAGTTCAAGAACTAAGAGGATTTAAACAGAAGCAATGAAGAGAACGGGCTAATATGGTCTTCATAGAAAGACAACTTGCCAAGATAATGAAAAGCAGGAAAAAGGAACCAAAAGATGTCGTGGCAAATACCAGAAAATTAAATGAAATAATTCCTTTGGAGATTGCAATAGGCCCTGGTTCTCTCATGTTATTGTATCAGAAAAGCTAATTCGCTTAAGCAAAAACTAGTAAGTTATTATCAAAACATGGAGAAATGAAGCTCCGAGTGTGACTGTCACCTTCTTTCTCTATTTAGTGCAAAGGGAAAACAATCCCCATGAACAATGAACTCTCTCAATACCAGATAAAGGAAGTCATTGTCCAAGGAACCCAGATATACAAGAGAAACAGTGAAAGTAAGTCCACTAGCCTATAAATCTATAAATGTAACCCTATCACAATTTTTTTCTTATATCCCTAATAATACAGAAGACTTACCCGAGTTTTAAGTTTATACAGGACGTGAAAAACAAGGTTATTTTTATAAAACCCTTTCTCCCCTCAGACTTCCTCAACCTTATCTCCAGATCATAACTGACTGTGGCTGCAAGCACACCACAGATCTCACCACACTGGGGATGAAACAACAGTTTGCAGCTCACAAATTACTCTTGCCTAAGCTGACAAAAAGCTAACTAAAACCAAACCTGGGACACACCAAAAAAAAAACAAAAAACCACCAACCAAACCAAAACCCCAAAAAACCCCAAAAAATCCAGCACAGCCTTTCATATCACTGGAAGCACTGGAATGGGCTGGAATGGGTTTCCCAGGGAAGGAGTTGAGGCACCATCCCTGGAGGTTTTCAAAAGATGGGTTGACATAGTGCTTAGAGATATAGTTTAGTAACGTGAGTGGGGTTTTTTTTGGTATGGTTTTCTTTTGGGGTTTTGGGGGGTTTTTTGTTGGTTTTTTTTTGTTTGTTTTATAATTAGAGTTAGGTTGATGGTTGGACCAGATGATCTTAAAGGTCCCTTCCAACCCAGACGATTCAATGATCCTTTGATCAGTTTAGCAAGAGCAGCTTAAAACACCACAAATCAAACCAGTGCATCTCTCCATTATGATAATCTCTTCAAATGTCCACACAGAAATTGTCAGCTTTGCAGAGACAGATGTTTGACTCAGCCTTTAGTCCTCAAGTAAAAAAGCCCTAAGCTTTCTTCTTTGGGTACCAATCCCATAATAGAACCTTTGAGAGCAACAGAACCAAGTGATTTGATGTGCAATCCTAGTAAAAGAACTTGGACTCAACGACAAATAGTTTGTGCAGTATACAGCTTCTCTGTATTTGGTTGTTTACATTTAAAAACCAAACAAATAAACAAAAAAAAAACAACCCCAAAACTCACCTTTGCCTGCAGGCTGTGGGACTGCAAATCCAGGCAGTAGGAAAGGTACTCCAGTGGTAACACCAGCTGGCTTTAATTCGTTGACACCATACGTTGTTAAGGAAGTTATCAAATTCACCAAGTCCTTCAAAGCATCCTTAGATTCAGCCTCTTTTGCCTGTTCTAATCTAAAGAAAATACAACAGATCAAGTTAGCAGCACTAGTTTATTTCAAATCACTTTAATAAGACACCTCCTCCATTTTATGCTATTGATTTAGAGATCCCACTTTCACTCTCCTGTTCCTACAGTATTTTACATGTTCTCTGATCATATTTCACACCATTCAGTCAAACATTATTGAATTTATGAGAGCATACATTATTTGCCAAAGAAGTTCACCTCGTAAATCTTTCCTCAAACTCAACAGTCTGCTAAAAAGCAGGACAGACAAGAAAATTACTTTGAAAATCCTCTTACAAACACAAAGCTATTGGATAGGAAAACACCTACGTAGTCTGTCATTCAATAAATCCATAGTTAACTTGCTAGATTATATCTGCCACCAATAATACTATATAATATTTTAATAATAGTTAACTTGCTAGATTATATCTGCCACCGAGTTAATACTTTATGCTAATGAAATGGTACCTTGGTAGAAGGCTAACACTTAGGAGCACACAATGGGACACCTTCATTAGAACTGCAGACCCTTAGCATTTCCATCCTCTTGTGTCCAAAGGTGACATCCCATTCCAACACACCATCAGACCAAACCCTAAAATCTGACTCCAAACCCGGAACAATCCTAATTTGCCTTCTGTTTCACCAAAAATTAAACCATGTTTAATTGCTTACTAACTCTGTAGTCTCTACAAACCTCACCGATGGTTGATCGTTGACCAATCGGTTGATGGTTGACACTGATGGACCAGTGTCCAGATTTCACACCCCTACATGCCAGTCAGCACCATAATGGTGCCACAGAGCTCAACAAGTCTCTGCCAGTAAGTTTTAGCCAAAACACACTCCTGTTGTTCATCACTGACTGATCTATAGGCTTGCCCAAGTTGATAATTTTTTTGAAACAAACTACGTTTTGATGTGAAGATCAAATAAACTGAAGCTTGTAAGAAGCAGCAAGAGATATGGCTATCAAAAGAGCAGTCACGTTTTGAACCATCTTCCATCTCCTCTACAATACACAAATTGCTAATGCACAGAGTGCACCTTATCCCAGGCATTTCTGCAAGAATCTCAGCAATTTTTTCTAGAATCACCCCGGGAAGAAGTGAGGATAATGCATTCCTACACTTTGGACTTTTAGTGATGTCAGCTGAAAAACCCAGGTGCTCTCCTTCTTCAATCAGACATGCAAACCTCTAGTCTTCCTAGATCTACGTCAGGGATCCCCCATTCTTTGATTTAAAGGCTGAGCAAGCTCAGGAGGGAGTCTGTTTAAAACACTTGATCTACAGAGGATTGTTCTTGTACCTGAAAATGAAATTGCTAATGCCAATGTGCTCCCCTCAGATTCCACCTAAACTGGGGCTGAGAGCTTCTGGAGAATGACTGAGATTGAATTACTTTGATTTGAACGAATGTGTTAGTAAATACAACATGCTCAAAACCACCATTCATACCACAAGAACAATAACAATTCTTTAAAAGGTGTTTAAAAGATAATCTATTAATAGTTTTAACTCTGATTAAGAATGTCAAGTGCCGTGTCTATGTTTGGTATCCATTTAAAACAAACAAAAAAAAAACCCACCAAAACCACACTATGTAGTAAAAAATGTAGTTGAAATATTTGGGTGCCAAAACCTAGCATCTTAGCACCCAAAATGAATGGGTTGAAAGAGGGAGATAACAACATTAATACTTTTCATTAATGGCCATTACAGCATTGTTTCTAAGCATCTTTGATCCAATCATACTTTATGAAGTGTACACTCAGACATCACTTCCCAGTTTGTCTTAGATGATTTCTAAAGCATACATATATGTTTTATCCACACTTAAGCACGCTTCTTCAGAACTTTATATCCAAACAAAGAACACAGACTGACTATAGATTTTACACAGCAGACACTAATGTGCTGAGAAAGAAAAGAATGAAGTTTCTTTCATGGAAAGAAATAAAAATCACAGATGGATCAAAACATCCACGTTTTGTTTGGGCGAACGTTTTCATTACCATATTTTGTGATGCATTAGCAGGTTAGCAGTACCTTTATTAAAAAATACAATTAAAAAAAATACATATATGCTGATTTCCCAGTAGCGTTAGAGTTCCCCCCAACACTCTGGTATTAGAATTTATGTACAAAAATATCTCTTCAATACTAAGTAGCACGCACCACATTTACTTACATGATTTTGCATTATGATAGTGTGTTAGAATACAAAAAAACTCCAACCAAACCCAAGAATCACCAGCTGCAGTCAATTTTTTATGTTCTGAATTCTTTCTGAATTTTTAGTACCAGCACCTGGTTTCTGCATGTGCTAAGAAAGATTTAGTAATAAACCAACACCGATGAATAAAAAGTTAAACGATGTAGTTTCATAAATGGAGAGAAGCACATAATTTCATGTTTTGGTCCTAATACCTTCATTGCATAATAACCTATAATCACTTATTTATTCAAACTTATTCACCTATTCTTTATTAAGAAACCTTTTCAGAAAAAGCTCACAGTGATCTATCTGCATTCCTTCAAGCACTTTTGCATACCTGAGGAGGAGGTCACAGAGGAAGTTGTATCCTTGCCATATCCTAAAATCATCCAACAAGGTTTGGGATACATCACTGGAGTCTTTGAGGAAACAAGAAAGTCCAGCAAACATCTCAACTATTTCTAGGGGAGAAAGGTCATCAGACTGCTGCATGTTCTGAACACACGTGGACAAACACTCCTTTTCTGAAAAGAATGGCAATTAAGAAATTTAGAATTCTACTGACATCAATCACAGCAAGAAGCATAACTGGTGCAAGGATCATGGCAATAAGGTAACTGTTATTTAACTGTCTCTTATCATACAACATTTAACATCACAGAGCACTTGAAGATGAGTAGAATTCTCAAGAGGCTTTGGATCTGAACCCTACCTCTTTTTGTCAATCCCTTCCTCCCATTTATAAGCTTTACTTTCGTAGGGAGAAGAATTTGTATAGACAAATACTGGGTTTTGCCTTAGAAGTTTGACCAGATAACTCAGTAGAACAAAAAGACATATATGGCAACTGTAAACGATTCTAAAACATCATCTTATTCTTTTAAAACACAGTTATACCAAGTTTTCTTATGCTACTCTTTGGCTAGCCCATTAGCTTGCCTGACAAATCTTGATGAAAGAGAGGCAGCTTGTCTCGTCCTGCATCCTCCTGCAACACTCCATCACTTCTCTGCTCGGTTGCAAAAAAGCCTTCCCAAATCTACAGCCAGATTTTAGGTTGCACTCCTGTTTTAAAGATGCTTCCTTCAATTATCTGCTATTTTAACTTCACAGTACGTGCGAGACATGTGCAAATCTTTCCAGCTAGACTGGTAACAAAATTTCTCAGATATCAAATCAAAGCATAAGACAGGGAAAGGATGCTCCTTTGCATATGGTAAAATGTCTTAGCTTTTTTTCCTGAATATGAGATGAGCCTCTTGACAGACGTTGTTATCTCTTGAGTCAGGTTCATTTTTTTTATCAATAAACGAGAGGGAATGCCGGCTGGTTTTCTTTTTAAGAATTTTTTTCACTTCTTTTAAAAGAACTATCCAATCATACTTTATGAAGTGTACACTCAGACATCACTTCCCAGTTTGTCTTAGATGATTTCTAAAGCATACATATATGTTTTATCCACACTTAAGCACGCTTCTTCAGAACTTTATATCCAAACAAAGAACACAGACTGACTATAGATTTTACACAGCAGACACTAATGTGCTGAGAAAGAAAAGAATGAAGTTTCTTTCATGGAAAGAAATAAAAATCACAGATGGATCAAAACATCCACGTTTTGTTTGGGCGAACGTTTTCATTACCATATTTTGTGATGCATTAGCAGGTTAGCAGTACCTTTATTAAAAAATACAATTAAAAAAAATACATATATGCTGATTTCCCAGTAGCGTTAGAGTTCCCCCCAACACTCTGGTATTAGAATTTATGTACAAAAATATCTCTTCAATACTAAGTAGCACGCACCACATTTACTTACATGATTTTGCATTATGATAGTGTGTTAGAATACAAAAAAACTCCAACCAAACCCAAGAATCACCAGCTGCAGTCAATTTTTTATGTTCTGAATTCTTTCTGAATTTTTAGTACCAGCACCTGGTTTCTGCATGTGCTAAGAAAGATTTAGTAATAAACCAACACCGATGAATAAAAAGTTAAACGATGTAGTTTCATAAATGGAGAGAAGCACATAATTTCATGTTTTGGTCCTAATACCTTCATTGCATAATAACCTATAATCACTTATTTATTCAAACTTATTCACCTATTCTTTATTAAGAAACCTTTTCAGAAAAAGCTCACAGTGATCTATCTGCATTCCTTCAAGCACTTTTGCATACCTGAGGAGGAGGTCACAGAGGAAGTTGTATCCTTGCCATATCCTAAAATCATCCAACAAGGTTTGGGATACATCACTGGAGTCTTTGAGGAAACAAGAAAGTCCAGCAAACATCTCAACTATTTCTAGGGGAGAAAGGTCATCAGACTGCTGCATGTTCTGAACACACGTGGACAAACACTCCTTTTCTGAAAAGAATGGCAATTAAGAAATTTAGAATTCTACTGACATCAATCACAGCAAGAAGCATAACTGGTGCAAGAATCATGGCAATAAGGTAACTGTTATTTAACTGTCTCTTATCATATAACATTGAACATCACAGAGCACTTGAAGATGAGTAGAATTCTCAAGAGGCTTTGGATCTGAACCCTACCTCTTTTTGTCAATCCCTTCCTCCCATTTATAAGCTTTACTTTCGTAGGGAGAAGAATTTGTATAGACAAATACTGGGTTTTGCCTTAGAAGTTTGACCAGATAACTCAGTAGAACAAAAAGACATATATGGCAACTGTAAACGATTCTAAAACATCATCTTATTCTTTTAAAACACAGTTATACCAAGTTTTCTTATGCTACTCTTTGGCTAGCCCATTAGCTTGCCTGACAAATCTTGATGAAAGAGAGGCAGCTTGTCTCGTCCTGCATCCTCCTGCAACACTCCATCACTTCTCTGCTCGGTTGCAAAAAAGCCTTCCCAAATCTACAGCCAGATTTTAGGTTGCACTCCTGTTTTAAAGATGCTTCCTTCAATTATCTGCTATTTTAACTTCACAGTACGTGCGAGACATGTGCAAATCTTTCCAGCTAGACTGGTAACAAAATTTCTCAGATATCAAATCAAAGCATAAGACAGGGAAAGGATGCTCCTTTGCATATGGTAAAATGTCTTAGCTTTTTTTCCTGAATATGAGATGAGCCTCTTGACAGACGTTGTTATCTCTTGAGTCAGGTTCATTTTTTTTATCAATAAACGAGAGGGAATGCCGGCTGGTTTTCTTTTTAAGAATTTTTTTCACTGTTAAAAGAACCTAGAATATCTTCTGATGTGCCAGCCTCACTCCTCTGTGGATCAAGCCCATAGAGAAGCGTTAATATCCCAAACGACACAGTCAACACTCAGATATTTTCTTTGTTGGGGTGGATAATGTTTTCCCATATACACGTGCATGTTCTACACTCATCAGAAACCCCCCAGAAGGCTGTTACAGGTGCAAGCAAAACACCTATCACTTTTCAGGTCCTATCTGAAAATCCTGAACTGCTGACTGTTCTGTGCTTTCAAGGGATACTGCACATTCACATCTTCCTGACTGGAATTAAGAGACACGCTGCCAGCACAAGAAAAAACACAGACTGAAATTTTCTGTGAAGTCTTAGAATATCTTCTGATGTGCCAGCCTCACTCCTCTGTGGATCAAGCCCATAGAGAAGCGTTAATATCCCAAACGACACAGTCAACACTCAGATATTTTCTTTGTTGGGGTGGATAATGTTTTCCCATATACACGTGCATGTTCTACACTCATCAGAAACCCCCCAGAAGGCTGTTACAGGTGCAAGCAAAACACCTATCACTTTTCAGGTCCTATCTGAAAATCCTGAACTGCTGACTGTTCTGTGCTTTCAAGGGATACTGCACATTCACATCTTTCTGACTGGAGTTAGAGACACGCTGCCAGCACAAGAAAAAACACAGACTGAAATCTTCTGTGAAGTATGTAGGAGCAGGGGTGACGTATTTCTATAAGCTGTCAAAATGATTTTGTGGAGCTTTGGAACCGCTTGCTTTCCAGGGTGCAAGGAAACTGTGGGTTTCTTTCTTTGCAGTAGGTGTACACTGCTAAAATGTATGATGAGAACGTTAGTTCACTTCAACAGTCGTTCCAATTTAAAAGTTGTGGAGCTTTGGAACCGCTTGCTTTCCAGGGTGCAAGGAAACTGTGGGTTTCTTTCTTTGCAGTAGGTGTACACTGCTAAAATGTATGATGAGAACGTTAGTTCACTTCAACAGTCGTTCCAATTTAAAAGCAACAAATGCTTCTGTGTGGTCCTACAGTCTAAAAGCCCTAAGTATAATATTAAAACCAGATTCTACCAAATTTCTTACCTCAAATCCTACATACCCAAACATCACTGCAGTTTTAAATTAATGCAACAGGAGCACTTTGTATGCAAAATTGCTCCTGGGCAGCAAATATCCTCTCCAACACCAGTCAGCATCTCGCTTTGCTCTCACTAACCCTTGGTGATGAACCAGCTTGTCAAGCAGACTGTAACCAGTCCCTTGTAAAGATACACAATGAATAAAGTACCACTTATATTAGCTACCAAAATCTGCAACCAGCTACAGAAATACCCCCTGTACCCTACAGTTTCCATGCCTGAAAAATAAAGTACCACTTATATTAGCTACCAAAATCTGCAACCAGCTACAGAAATACCCCCTGTAGGCTACAGTTTCCATGCCTGAAACAGTCAGGATGCTATTTGTCTCAAAAAAGGAGATAAAATGGAATGATTCTGGCTGCTTTGGTCATTTGGTGGCTGGCAGCCTGGATTAAGCCCATGAGATGATTTTATTTTGGCCTTTGAGAATGCACAAAACCTGTCATTTGTAAGCTGTATGGCAAGGTGGGGGAGACAAGGGCCCAGCAGAAGAAACGCAGGCTGGCTGAATGGTCAGCAATCTAGTCAGTCAGCCAACAGGGAAAACCTAGGGGCTGCAAACCCACCCAGCAGCCAGGCTCCTCCCTGCTGTGTCCCAAAATCTCTGCACTTGGTTGTGACACAGGCTCTAGGAGAGGCTAGAGCCATAGAATGGTTCGGGTGGGAAGGGACCTTAAAGATCATGGAGTTCCAACCCCCCTGCCCTGGGCAGGGACACCTCCCACCAGACCAGGTTGCTCCAAGCCCCATCCAGCCTGGCCTTGAACCCCTCCAGGGACGGGGCAGCCACAGCTTCTCTGGGCAACCTGGGCCAGGCTCTCACCACCCTCACAGCAAAGAATTTCTTTCGGGTGCGTAATCGAAATCTCCCCTCTTCCACTTTAAAACCGTTCCCCCGTGTCCTGTCACGAGTCCCAGCTCTCCTGTAGCCCCTTCAGATATTGGAAGGGGCTCTAAGGTCTCCCCGGAGCCTTCTCTTCTCCAGGCTGAAGAACCCCAGCTCTCTCAGCCTGTCTTCACAGCAGAGGTGCTCCAGCCCTCTGAGCATCTTCATGGCCCTCCACTGGACCCGTTCCAACAGGTCCATGTCCTTCATGGACACGTAGCCTTCAGGCTACATTTAAGTTTCCTAGGAGCACCAGTTCTGAGACCACCTCCTTCATGCATAGGCATGGGTCTGAGCCAAGCAAAGGAGAGCCTCCCTGGGACAGGCCCTAGGGACAACATCCTTGGGTTGAAGACCCCCACGGGGAAGCTGGGCTGGACCACAGGGGAGGAAGCCAGTTGGTTGCTTCGTCAATCAGCACTTGAAGGTTCACACTCAAATGTTTCTGTGCCCATACACCACCCTCCCTCAAGCATTTCCTAGTGCCTGCATTACACAGGTTTTGCTGTTATCAGAGTATGCCACCTGCAATGTCTTGGACAACAGAGAGTACACTGCAAGTCAGTGGTAGTTATAAGAGTCTCACCCAGCCCCTTCCTGCAAAAGCAAGATGTCTGGGAGCAAGAATCTCCTCCCAGCATACCCAAATTATGGTTGCATACCAGTATTTACTACAGGGCAGCAGCCTTCATGGGCTTCTAATAACTCAAACTGCGTTAACAGAACACATGGTCTCTTCTCACAGGTAATTAGTGACAGAACGAGAGGGAACGGCTTCAAGCTCCAACAGGGGAGGTTTAGATTGAACATTAGGAAAGAATTTTTCACCCAAAGAGTGGTCGGGCATTGGAACAGGCTGCCCAGGGAGGGGGTGGAGTCCCCATCCCTGGCTGTGTTTAAGGGACGTTTAGATGCAGTGCTGAGGGACATGGTGTAGGGGAGGACTTTGTAGAGTAGGGGAGATGGTTGGACTCGATGATCCCAAGGGTCTCTTCCAACCTAGACGGTTCTATGATATGGAGCTGGTTCTTCTCCCTGCAGCTTCCTCAGACTTCTCCACACTTTTATTGCCAGTTGGAGTGGTACCTGGACAGGCAGCTGTAAACTGGACACTGATAGCTTGCCTTGTGCCTCTACAAGGGGCTGCTGCTAGTTCAAGAGTTGGACTGAAAACAACTAACTCCTGTTAAGAATTAATGCTCACAGTCAGAATGACAAACTTAAGCATCTTCCCGGTGAGTATTTTTCAATACAGGCAGTTACTGATGTTACCAAAAGCCTTTCCTTCTGGTCACCACAAAGTCTACACCAAAATATTTGGGGAAACTCTGTCCTCCAACGTTAAGTTGAAAGGTGGATAAGGCGGACTCAGCTACAAACACCTCTCTCACTAAGCAAGCGCTCTGAAAGTTTACCTGGATGTAAATACTCACACGTACAAACAAAAATCCCGGAAGCTTTCCTCAAATCTATTACAGAATCACAGAATCTTCTAGGTTGGAAGGGACCTTAAAGATCATCTTGTCCAACCGTCAACCTAACTGACAAAAATAGACACCCACACAACAAACAAGGAGCATCATCACTAAACCAGACCTCCCAGCACTTCATCAACCCGTCTTTTGAACACCTCCAGGGATGGGGCCTCAACCACCTCCCTGGGCAGCCCATTCCAAGGCCTGAGAACCCTTGCAGTGAAAACATTTTTCCTAATATCCAGCCTGAACCTCCCCTGGGGCAACTTGAGGCCATTTCCTCTCGTCCTGTCGCCTGTGACTTGAGAGAAGAGACCGACCCCCACCTCTCTACACCCTCCTTTCAGGGAGTTGTAGAGAGCAATAAGGTCTCCCCTCAGCCTCCTCTTCTCCAGGCTGAACACCCCCAGCTCCCTCAGCCTCTCCTCATCAGACTTATTCTCCAGACCCCTCACCAGCTTTGTCGCCCTTCTCTGGACCCGCTCCAGTACCTCAATGTCTTTTTTATGGTAGGGGGCCCAAAACTGGACACAGTACTTGAGGTGAGGCCTCACCAGTGCCTATTTTTGTGTCTATGTCCCAACTGAGAAAACTATCAAAGAACAACAACAGGAAAAAATCTCAGTAATTAATACTGGGTAAGGTGACATACCATGGATGTATTTCACTACGTTGACGCTAAGGCCATGCCGTGATATGGTCATCAGTACTTCCCCTGCACTCTTCCTCCAAGGCAGGTTATAGGGAGGGCACCATGAGGTTATTGCACTGAAGAGAAGCTGGAGATCATCCTTTTGAGCCAGTTCTTCCGCCGGGGACACGAAACTGCACAATTTTACTAGGATCTGAAATAAGAAGTCATTAAACATCTAGCATTAATACCCTGATCATTGCTATTTTTGCCCAAACTTAGTAAAATGTGAAACATTCTTCCACTGAGCACATACATTGAAAAAGGCAATGCGCTGTTTTCCCTTTGTTTCTCTAATTTGAAGACAAAGTTTTTCAACACAGAATCAGAATCACAGAATCTTCTAGGTTGGAAGGGACCTTAAAGATCATCTTGTCCAACCGTCAACCTAACTGACAAAAATAGACACCCACACAACAAACAAGGAGCATCATCACTAAACCAGACCTCCCAGCACTACATCAACCCGGCTTTTGAACACCTCCAGGGATGGGGCCTCAACCACCTCCCTGGGCAGCCCATTCCAATGCCTGAGAACCCTTTCGGTGAAAAAATTTTTCCTAATATCACATGATCACTTCAAGTCCCACTTCAGTTTAAAATGACTAGCAAAAGATTGGCAGCAGAGTTTAGGCTGACATGGCATACTTGTGTGGATACCAGGTTATTCCACTCTTGGAGAAGCTGCCAATTACCTGATTTTACAGATTTACAGGTCTAAATCCTGCAGTGAGGCAGAGGCTCTGTGCAGCAAACTGTTGCGTCCCTTCCTAACGCAGGGTGGTTGTTGTTGGTGGTGGCCAACCACCCGCCTGTTGATGGGTGGTTGGCAGAGCTGCATCCAGAACATCTTGGCCAAATGAAAACAGCCAAAACAGCGCAGCAGGAAAGGCTGCAGCAACACTGTAGACCTACCTGGATAACTGCCACCTGGATCTCAATGTCCAGGTTACCATAAACAAGACAAAATTCAGCCATGCAACCAAAGTTCCTGTGTTGCACTCCCTTTTCTGTATGTTTTGAGGACATCTGATGTCCATTTTGTTTCTGGTGCAGGAAAAGCTCTGAGAAAACCAGAGGAAGACTTCACGAGGCTGTCTGCATCTGGAGGAGGATATTTGGAAGCTATCTGAAACCTCAGCCATTCCAGCCAGCCCATTTGAGAGCACCATTTAACAGCCCTTCAAGATGGACAGAAAAAGAGCTGAGTGGTAACATACTGGGGGGGTGGGGAAGCTCTGATGTAACGTTGATCATTCATTAACTCTGCTGATGGAAACACAGCAAAGCAATTTCTGAAAGATGGCTCACAGCACATCGTGATGGCTGCTTTGGAAGCCAGCCTGCAGCACTAAGACCTCTATGGTTCTGCATACGTGGCTATATTGCATACAATAACCCTACACAGAGATGCATCCAACTTGCACATGGAAACCATTAGCGTGACCACTGGCCCCTTTCTAACGGCAACTGTCAGTTCCTTCTAAAAGTATGGGAATTTCTCTGGAAGATCTCCAAAGGAGACTTCAGAAAGCAGGAGCAGGTCAGATGGAGCCCCTGGCCTCCCTGGGAAATCTGAGGGACAATTGTAATAGTAACTGCAGGCTCACATGGTTCCCATATTTAAATTATTTGTTTCCATGTTCATGGTTTATTTCAATAATTAAAGGGGAAATAGCGTATGTTAAATTCATTCAAAGATTATTATAAATTCGAATAGTTTTTATAGAATCATAGAATAGAATCATAGAATTGTCCAGGCTGGAAGGGACCTCCAAAGGCCATCTAGTCTGACCCCCCCGCAGTCAGCAGGGACACCCCCAACCAGACCAGGTTGCCCAGGGCCTCGTCGAGCCTCTCCTTGAATATCTCCAGGGAAGGGGCCTCAACCACCTCCCTGGGCAACCTGTTCCAGTGCTCCACCACCCTCACAGTGAAGAACCCTCTCCTCATCTCCAGTCTAAATCTGTTCCCCTCCAGCTTGAAGCCATTGCCCCTCGTCCTGTCACTGCAGGCCTTTCTAAACAGGCTCTCCCCAGCCTTCCTGTAGCTCCCTTCAGGTACTGGAAGGCTGCTATTAGGTCTCCTCAGAGCCTCCTCTTCTCCAGGCTGAACAACCCCAGCTCCCTCAGCCTGTCCTCGTAGCAGAGGTGCTCCATCCCCCTGATCATCCTCGTGGCCCTCCTCTGGACCCTCTCCATCAGGTCCATGTCCTTCTTCTATTGAGGGCTCCAGACCTGCACACAATACTCCAGGTGAGGTCTCACCAGAGCAGAGTAAAGTGGCAGAATCACCTCTCTGGACCTGCTGGCAACGCTTCTTTTGATGCAGCCCAGGATGGGATTGGCCTTCTGGGCTGCAGCTGCCCACTGCCTGCTCATGTCCAGCTTCTCCTCCACCAGCACCCCCAAGTCCCTTTCCTCAGGGCTGCTTTCCAATACCTCACCCCCCAGTTTGTATTGGTGGCGAGGATTGTTCCGGCCCAGGTGCAGAACTTTGCATTTGCTCTTGTTGAACCTCATGAGGTTCACCTGGGCCCACCTCTCCAGCCTGTCCAGGTCCTTTTGGATGACATCCCATCCCTCTGGTGTATGTGTAGCTTTTACTATGTCTATTTCAATCAGTAACAGCCAAAGATACCAAAGACCAGGACCAGTTAGATCAAACCAGAATAGACAACCTGTTGCTCCTTTTAAGCAGCTGCACACAGATTTTTGTGGAGGAGATATTTGCCAAGGATAAAAACCACAGAGAGAGTGAAAAGATAACCTCAACCGTGCTTGCAGGGAAGTTTGCAAAGAATCAAGGTAGAGCAAAACCTGGTTCAAGAGAAAAGTTTCTGGACTTTTCTGACAGGAGGCATTTCTATTCCTCTTGCAAATTCCATGACCTCCTTTACCCTTCTTACCTGCACAAAGACTTTCTGTAGTAGCGCTCGGCGCTCTGCGAGAGGTAGTTCATTCTGTGCTCCTCCAACTACCTCAGGCACATGTGGAAGGTCAAAAAACAGATATAGACATTTAACAAGCGTGGAAGGCACTGACATCGTAGTCATGCAGTCCACAGTTTTCTGGGGAGAAAGAAAACAGAGGGGAAAAAAAAAACAACAAACAGTTCAGCATATTACTAGATTCAAAAAGTCACGCTCCTGTAACGCAATTGACTCAAATGCCATTTCTTCCTCCTTTCTCACAGCTTTGGTGAGGTGTCCACATGGCAGTATAGATTCACCATTCTTATTTTATTCTATTCTTAAGTGCCTACCTAAATAGTAACCTTAAAAATAGGATCATAATTTATTTACATGACAACAGCATCTAACAGCCACCGTTTGGAGCAATCACTGCAGGGGACAGAAACAAAAGCTGACAGTCTCTGCCAACAGAAGCTTGCAAGTTAATTACGAGACCTTCAGCCAAGCCCTCATTAGCTATCTATTCTCTGTAGCAGTAAAAATGGGAGTGGGAAGAGGCCTATTCAATTTCTACTCTCACTTGGCACGAAGGTATAAGCAGGCATAAGGAGCAAGGTAGAAGAAAACATGAAAGCATCAGTGGGAAGAGAAGACAAATTGGGGTGGAGGCTGGCAACGCGCTCAACACAGATAACACGATGTGCTGAATCACAAAGGCAGATCAGAGCAGAGAGAACAAACCAGGCAGCTGCTCAGCACACTGCCAGGGATCAGGGCACCACCAAAAGCAGTGAAGATCCATGATATCACCCACTCCTCACTGCTGCTGGCTTCTCTTTTCACAACTGCTGCTGCCCTCCTTGAACTGGGGAGCCCAAGTTCAAGTGATCGAGGTGCTCTACGTGACATGCATCTCATGGAGCACTAAGCAGCAGCATGCAAGATAAGCCTTTGGGGAACAATACAAGTTGTGTGCATAATTCAAGGGAACATTATAAATTGAAGTTCCAAAATGACTCTCTTAGGCAAATGAAACCACAAGAAGATAAAGCAGAAGTTCTGTGGCAGCGTAACAGAAAAAGGATCTTAACACAGAAAGCAGAACATCGTTACACCTTTTAACGTGTGGTCATGCAGCTTGTTATCTTATTGCTTTTTTTATTTTTATTTCTTTTTAGCCTTGCTGTTTAAGACTAACCTGTCCCGATGAAGCTAGTAAATTGATTGTGGTGAGCAGCATCCAACCTCTACTTGCTTCTTCGCTCTGATTGACCTCCAGAAACTGGACTATGGCACGACTTGCAGCCTCTGCAAGGGAACAGTTAAAAAAAAAAAAAGAAAAAGGAGTAAGAATTCAATCTGACAAGCCTGCAGAAGGAAACACATCCTCTTGGCAGCCCTGAGTGCTGAGCATGAATTCACCTTTGCTGTGCCATGTGAAAAATGTAGGCTTAGGCCTACACTCTCCAGACACACATTCCAGTCTTACACACACACTTGGCTTTGACACTAGCAAGGCTGCAAAAAGTACTTTTTTAGGTCATGCATCATCCTCCTCCAAAACAGCCGACAGATCTTAGTAACATGCAGCATGTTTGAGTATTTCGGCTCCATCAACTACAACACACTCTTTCTCCAGAGACATGAAGTCACCATCACTTAGTGGTCCTTAGTGGGAAAAGATGGTATTGGGTTTCTGAAAAAAATAGCACTTCACTGAAACAACCATACAGAGGATGATGGGAAAAGATTGGAGGGAGGGAGAGGTGTAGAAAGACAAAAGGAAGAGAAAGTAAAATTAAGACCCAGGTCAGCAATTACCACATCCCCATCCTTAGGTTTTCTGGAAAATGAGAACTCTAACAAGTTACAGCTAATTCTTATGATCCAGGGACCACTCCTGGAACCAGATGCTGTTCTGTATCAGTCAGAGCCAAAGAGAAACATTCAGCCCAGTAAACAAGTTATCAGCCTCATTAAATAAACCAGCAGAAAATGCAATCCTATTTCACTGCTGTCTCAATACACACTTCTGTTAAGAAATCTATAATGCCAGTCATGACGACGACTGTCCATTACCCTTAAGGGAAATCAAAAACCATTTTTCATTAATAACTGTGCATCAATCATCTTCAATGCTTTTACTGTCAACTAGAACAGAAAAGGAAGGTGCATAATGTAGTGAGGTGGACTGAGAACTGGCTGTGTGACAGAATTCAGAGGGTTGTAGTTAATGGAGCAGGGTCAAGTCGGAGGCCTGTAACCAGTGGTGTCCCCCAGGGGTCCATACTTGGTCCAGTTTTGCTCAACATATTCATCAATGACCTGGATGAGGGGACAGAGTGTATCCTCAGCAAGTTTGCTGATGGTACCAAACTGAGGGGACTGGCTGACACTCCAGAGGGCTGTGCTGCCATCCAGCATGACCTGGACAGGCTGGAGGGCTGGGCTGAGAAGAACCTAATGAGGTTCATCAAGGACAAGTGTAGGGTCCTGCACCTGGGGAGGAAGAACCCCAGGCACCAGTATAGGTTGGGGGTGGACCTGCTGGAAAGCACTTCTGAGGAGAAGGATCTGGGGGTCCTGGTGGACAGTAAACTCTCCATGAGCCAGCAATGGGCCCTTGTGGCCAAGAGGCCAATGGGATCCTGGGCTGCAGAGGGAAGAGTGTGGCCAGGAGGCGGAGGGAGGTCATTCTCCCCCTCTGCTCTGCACTGGGGAGGCCACAACTGGAATCCTGCCTCCAGTTCTGGGCTCCCCAGTTCAAGAGAGACAGGGAACTACTGGAGAGAGTCCAGAGTAGGGCAGGAAAGATGATGGAGGGATTGGAGCATCTCCCTGATGAGGAAAGGCTGAGAGAGCTGGGACTCTTCAGCCTGGAGAAGAGAAGGCTGAGGGGAGACCTCATCTATGTTTCCAAGTTCCTAAAGGGTGGGTTGAGGGAGGATGGAGCCGGACTCTTTCCAGTGGTTCCCAGTGAGAGGACGAGGGGCAACGGGCACAAGCTGGACCATGGGAAGTTCCACTCCAATGTGAGGAAGAACTTCTTTGGGGTGAGGGTGGCAGAGCCCTGGCAGAGGCTGCCCAGGGAGGGTGTGGAGTCCCCTTCTCTGGAGATCTTCAAGCCCCACCTGGATGCTCCTGAGTGATGTGCTCTGGGCAGCCCTGCTTTGGCAGGGGAGTTGGGACTAGATCATCTCCAGGGGTTCCTTCCAACCTCGTATCATTCTGTGATCCCGTGTAACATGCACAGCCTCCTTTGGGCACAGTCTCCAAAATCCACCTGTGGAACGGGGGCTCTTCTAGTCATCTTTGAAAGTGAGACTCAAGGGTTAAGTATACACTTCTGAAGAAGTTGTCATGCTGCTGGCATCCTAAATGGCATAGCAGTTGAACACTATAAATAGCAGATTCAAAACTGTCACTCTTAATTAAGCACTACCTAAAACACAGACAGCATTTTAAGCGCAGGAAGAAATTCTCTTGTCATCTGTTCCGAGCAAATTTGATAGCACTATCATTTAAGATTAATTTCTATCATCAGCAGTTGTCTTAATTTATTTCTTGTACCTTTTCTCCGGTTTTGAAGCGCTCAAGTCATCTTTTCAATATAACATCCTCTACGTGCCCCACCCAGATGTATTTAAGCCCCTCAACGTCTGCAGAACAAACCTCTGAATTTAGGATTGGGACATGCCAGCTAGTAAAACCAGCAAAGGAACAAAGAGAAAGGCATATAAAATAATCCATAAGCACACACATCTTGACAAGTGTGCAAGCACGTAGACTTCAGTATGACCACGATTCTGTGATGACAAGGTTAATACACAGAAGTCAGGTTTTTCATCATGGATGAAAACGCACGGGGATAGAGGCTTGGTAGAACAAAACAGGAGGTGACACAGGTGCTTTCCATCCTGGGCTTCAGCAAAGCAAGGGGAGCAGACCCATCCAGGTTGCCACCAAAAAGCAGCAGTGTGTTACACACAACACTATTGCTATAGTGATAGCACTGAGGATGAACTCAGTAGGTGATGGTTTTAGTTAGGTGTTCTACTACCATGAACAGCACATAATAGCATCACCTGACTTTTGCATAACTTCTTCTTATCCTAGAGTGGAGTATTATTGAAAAAAAATATCTGTGCATATGCCAAAGGTGGAGTGGGAAGTGTGGGTGGGTATGTCAGGGGGGTGGTGGGAAGCAAGCTGAAGCTAGGGACTCCTCCTCAAGTAGAGCTTTCAAGAAGTCTCTGCTGCTTCTCACAGGGAATGCCTGGAAACGGTGTCTTACATTCTTTAAACTCTAGGTATCCATCTAGAGCTAAAGAATACAAATAGTTCCAACTGCCTACATAGTAGGAGAGAAGTATCAACCCAAACAAAAAAGGGATGGCAAAAGTCACCCTTCAGTTATCAGGAGCAGTGCAGTGCTGTCCTCACACACAGATATGAAACGACTGGTGCCTTTGCAGTGTGCAGGAACAGAAGGCTGCCCATCCAAAGATAAGCAACTCAACCGTGCCAGCATTTAGCCTCACAAACCCAGCCAACAAAAAAACAGGCTTTCTAGGATCTCTTGGAAAGGCACTACATCACACTACACTTGCCTTGCAGAAGAACCGGTGAAGAGCATCAGAAATAACTTGAAGGTTAACCAAAAGTAACAAGATACAGCAGTCGTTGATCAGAACTGACTTCTAACGAGTAGCTGATAGGACACTGCTCCCTTTTCAGAGCAACTTCACTAAATTCAAAATAGAATTATAGACTTGTCTAGGCCGGAAGGGACCTTTCCCATCAAATGCAACCATCAACCTACCACTGGCAAAAATGATCACTAAACCATGTTGCTGAGCACTAGGTTTACCTGTCCTTTAAATACCTCTAGGGATGGTGATTCCACTGCTCCCCTGGGCAGCCTGTTCCAAGGCTTGATAACCCTTTCAGTATAATTTTTTTTTTTTCTAATATCCAATCCAAACCTCCCGTGGTGAACTTGAGGCCATTTTCTCTTGTCCTATCACTCTTTACTTGGGAAGAGAGACTGACTCCCACCTCTCTACAACCTCCTTGCAGGTAGGTGTAGAGAGCGAGGTGGTCTCCCCTCAGCCTCCTCTTCTCCAGGCTGAACACCCCCAGCTCCCTCAGCCTCTCTTCAGGACACTTGTTCTCCAGACCCCTCACCATCTTTGTTGCCCTTCTCTGGACCCGCTCCAGCACCTCAATGTCTTTTTTGTGGGAAGGGGCCCAAAACTGGCCACAGCCCTCGAGGTGGGGCCTCACCAGCACCGAGTAAAAGGGGGACAATCACTTCCCTACTCCTGCTGGCCACACTGTTCCTGATACAGGCCATTACCTTGTCACCCACAGCACAGGAAAAGCAGATATATATATGTAATGAAAAAAACAAAATGAAGAAAAATATATGTAATGAAAAAAACAAGTCACGTGGAGTCACAGCATGTGAGATCATTTCCAAAATACTCTCTTTCAGGCATTGGAATGGGCTGCCCAGGGAGGTGGTTGAGGCCCCATCCCTGGAGGTGTTCAAAAGACGGGTTGATGTAGTGCTGGGAGGTCTGGTTTAGTGATGATGCTCCTTGTTTGTTGTGGGGGTGTCTATTTTTGTCAGTTAGGTTGACAGTTGGACAAGATGATCTTTAAGGTCCCTTCCAACCTAGAAGATTCTGTGATTCTTCTCAAAAGAAGGAAAGTTAACTAACGTACAAAAAAAAGTCTGAAAGCAGCCCCTAAGTCCACTTATTTCAGCGAGAAAGATGCCCAACTCTTCAAAGAGAAGCAGATGGTACAAGAAATGCTATCAGGAAAACTTCAGACTTCGTTATGGGAAGACTCCAAAAGGCTACTCATTAGTAGAAGATAAGAAGCTCCCTTTAACCACTATCAGTAACTTACCCTAAAAGCAAGATGCACTTGAACAAGTAACACTAACTCTTGTGTATTTAAGATGAACATAAAATTAGTTCTGCTGATGTGATAGAGATAAACTGCAATAAAAATGAACAATAAAAGAAGTGTTTTGCAGATCAGTGGAATTTTAAAAAGAATAAAGGTAGGCATTGTGAGAGGCCAAAGACAAACCACCCATGTGGTTTTCTGCAATGGTTAAACACGATGACAATGAACATTTATCAATTTGCTCTCCCAAAGTGGTTTGAAGATGAGATAACGATAGTCTTGCAGAAGATCTGTTAGAGAAATGCCTAAAGAGGTTAAAAGCACTGGTGAAAACAGTTTGAGTAAATCGGTGATACTGAGAGGAAGAGAAAAAAAGGGAGAGGGGAAAAAAAACCCAACATCTCAAAGAAACAAGCAAACAAACAAGACAGAGAACCAAGGCACCACAAGATTCAGAGGGTAGAAACAGTAACTGAAAATGTTGTTTCTGGAGGTAGGAGGGATTAGCTGAGCAGTCTAGAGGTTTGGTAAAAATAAATTTAGCACTGAATAGTAAATACTGAGACAAATACATACAGAGAATGGTGCAAATATGAAACGAAATGTTGACTGAAATCAACAAAGCAAAATAAACTAAATGAATTTAAAAGATGCGTGAAACAGTGATGTACACAGACTACCACACATGAAATCATAACTAAAAAAAAAAAACGACAAAAAAAAAAACCCCAACACACCAACAAAACACCCCAAACTTTTGAAATCGACCTCAAAAGGATGTTAAAATGTTCCAGCCCTGTGATGAACCGTTTTACTTTCTCATTCTTCAATTTTCTCCCCTTCTACACAGGTTTCATGGATTGTCCCCACAACAACTTAATCATATTCTGACTGGGAAAGGACCTCCCAGGTTGCAGGATTGCCCATCACTAAAGAAATTATTCTGAATCTCTCTGTGGTATCAAGTGTTTACATCTCCTAATGCATGGGGGCTGTCAGTATGTCATCTGGTGCCTGAATCCCACAATCCTCATGGTTGGAAGGGACCTTTGAGATCATTGAGTGCAACTGTGAAAAAAGAGGGAAAAAAACCAAACCAAACCCAAACCAGAAACAGACCCAACCCAACAATCTCAGGCACTAGAGCCTGCCCTGAAGTGCCACATCTACACCTTTCTTCAATACCTCCAGGGATGGTGACTCCACCACCTCCCTGGGCAGGCCCTTCCAGGGCCTGACCACCCTCTCAGCAAAGTCATTCTTCCCAAGATCTCATCTAAACCTCCCCTGCCCCAACTTCAGACCATTTCCTCTGCTCCTCTCATGATTCCCTTGGGAGAAGAGGCCAACCCCCACCTCTCTACACCCTCCTGTCAGGGAGCTGGAGAGGGCAAGGAGGTCTCCCCTCAGCCTCCTCTTCTCCAAACTCAACATGCCCAGTTTCCTCAGCCTCTCCTCGTAGGACTTGTTCTCCAGACCCCTCCCCAGATTGGTTGCCCTGCTCTGGACACTCTCCAGCCCCGCAACGTCCTTCTTGTAGTGAGGGGCCCAGAACTGAGACGCAGACAACATAGGACTGAGTTAGGAACCAATTTCAGTAAACGTGGGATAACCACTACAAGGTACCAAATCCCAGGTTTGCACACCCTCAACTGCTGTCCACACCAGAGGGATCACCCCAACTAGTCTTCCCTACCATCTGCTTATTTTTGTGCAGGATCTAAGTTACGATGATGTGCCAAACGCTCTAGGACACGCTGTTGAAATGTTTGCAAAATTTACGGAGGAACCAACTGCATCCCAGGGTATGTCTTTTGAAAAATACATGAAGTGTAAGCGTTGCTTCCCCTCCAGCATCAGTCGCTAAAGTAGTCATTAGTAGCCACATTCATTCTGACAAGATTCAAGCTGTCCCTTTTTCAGGAAGTTTATCTATTTCAGCCCTGAGCCAGATGCACTTGCTCCCAGAGGAAAGGCTCGTTTCAGGACTGAGACTAAGATAGAAATAGATGTTTGAGCATATATTCAAGCATAGTACTACTACAACTTTTTGGTCAATTCAGACACAAAATTTGATTTATTTGGGGAAAAGGGAGCTCAGTATACTTGAGATTTTTAGCTGCCATCTCAACCATTACCCCACCATCTTCTAAAACAGACTAGATACCCCAGGGCAAGGGAAACCATACACTGAGCCTCATAGATACGCTTACTGCTGTCACCTGCAAATTATCACTGTTGTACAGCAGAGACTTAAATGTACAAGATAATTTAACTCCATTTTAACTGCTTCGTTTTTTCTTATCCCAAGCTCACACCCATTCTAGAGAAATAAGAGAGTTGAAACCAGTTGAACACATAACTACAATGGCAATGGATGTCCAGAGACTACTTCAGAGAGGGTGCTGGCACAGTTATCACTGAATCACGAAAAGCTGTTCTGAGAAAACTACTACAGGCTGCCAAGAATAACTGAGATATGCCTCCACGATGGCAGGCATTACTCACATAGCTATTAGCATAAATATTCAAAGGCCTGACGAAAAAAAGTTGCCCTGTGCTCCATTAGGAAATGGGAGGGAGGGGGAGAGAAGGGGGAAGAAGGAAAGAAAAAAAAAAAACAACCAACCAACCAAACAAAAAAAAAAAAAACAAACCAAAAACCACCAGCCACCCAAACAAAAAAAAAAAACCCCACCAACACACCAAGAGGTAAGATTTAATCATACCACATTCCCAACTGTAAAATACTGCCAACAATTTATCTCTTTATAGGCAGAAAGTAAGTTCTTGTAAAATTTCTTCCCTTTTGTTAACTATCTAAAGTTGACTTTCGATAACATTTCTATGGAAAGCTTGTCTCTAAAACAAGCTCAACGATTTTGTTGATTTAAATGGAGCACTTCACACCATCAAGAATTTGTACTTGGATATCACCAGAGATATTGCCTGCATATAGCTGTTACTGAAGTTTTTCACTTTTAAAAACATGGTAGGAGATATAATTGCCTGTTAACAGCTAGTAAGATATGCTGTATCTTTTTGTTTGGTACACAAAAATAATGGAGGTTTTAAAAAAAAATAAAATGCAAGAGCCTTCACAATCCACAGACACAATATTATGCTCTTAACATAAAGGTATCCTAAAAAACCAAGAATTTCTATTATTTTTTTCAGTATAGCACAAAATGTGTATATTGTTCTAAACAGTTTAACACTGAAGTCTGCAAACTATGAGCTTGTTAATTGGTCATTTCTGGAGAGCAAACTGCAGTTCCCTGGTCCCACCAACTGCAGACAGGGACCTCTCAGGCTTTCTTACTGGAGTCTGACAAGGGTTTACTGACTGAAGTAACAGCAATCTTGGTAATAAAAGAAAAATGACTGTTTTCCTTTTTAATAAAAACACTGGTACTCAGGACATTAGAGCTTAGAAGAGTATCAAACTGTCTTTTAAGTCATTGTAGTGAGGAAGAAAACGAGAAAACCTCCAAAAACCAACAGTGACTACAACAAAGTCAATCTCTGACTTGTGAGGTTTCAAGGATGATAATGGGATTATCTTGGAGCAACCAGCAGAGGTACGGCTTAAGCAATAAACAACCAAAATGGCCATTCTTAGCAGCCTCCAACTGACTACCAGGCATAACAGATGTTCCCCAGAAAAAAAAAAGGAAAAAAAAAGTCAAACGAACACCACCATTCTGCCAGCACGGCTGTTGGCCATTCATTTCCCCCTAAATACCCAAAGAAAAGACATTTTGCTCCTGTTTACCCATAGAGAACAGGTTTTGTCTACGATATCTGTTTAGCCATCTGGAACGTTTCACTGTTAGTCACTCTACTTAAAAATGGAAAGAAATTGTAATTGGCACAGTTTGAGCCTCCTGACTTGACGCGCAATCATTTGCACAGCCTTTTTTCAGCCCGCTATTTCCTTATTTACCACCAAATCCAAACTGAGAAGCCAGCACAGGTCTTAAAATGATCTAGACTTGATACTTCCCAGAAGCACTCCTCTTCAGAAGAGGAAATCGAAGAGGAAGGTTAATGAAACATGCCTTCTTGGCTCACTGTCTTTAGTTACACAACTCCCAATACGTGGTCAGCTTCTGACACATTCAGGGTGCAACAGACCCAAATTTCACCCTGACATTTAATAAACAGAGCAAAAAGAGACCTCTAACTAACTAAATAACATATTTCTGCGCCTGGCAGTGTTGGTCCTAACGTGGGACTTGCTGTACCTTCACATCTTATTAGCTTCCAGGCCAACAGCTAATTTAAAATGCGTGTTTTTTGGAATGTGAACATATCTGAGGGACAAAACACAGCACCAACAGGCACCTCAGGCAAGATACAGAAGCTGTCCACGTGTTATGTGTTTGGTCTCCTTCTACTAGTAGGTGATGTAACTTCGCTTACTCCTTTCTCTTTGATGTGTTGTCAAGTTTGTGGAACTGGGCTTTCTCCATAACAGAGGAAAGAAAACTCTAGCCTCCTCCCCAAAGCAAGAGAAGATAACACATTTTCACTGCCAAGACTTCAATTTCTGACCCTGCACGGTTGCTGTGGGTGGCAATTCTGACTGAGCTGAAATTCATGACGTGCATCTCACAAAGCCCAAACCCGTGCCCTCTGCAATACCTGTGGACTTATTCGATGCTCTCCGTCGGATTTCAGTCACCATCAATCGTGACACTTGAGTAGTAAACTGCAGGAGGTCAGAGAATTTTTCTGTCATTGTACTCGGAGGAGCATTTCCAAACACCTAGAAGAAGAGAAAAAGGGGATGCATCAAAAAGGCATTCAGTTTACAAGGATCGCTACAAACCACTGCCCTCCTTTGTGAAGAAGAAGTATCACTGTGGAGATTAGAAGTTTTTGTTTTCCTGCTGAGGTATTCATCACTGTCCCAGTTTTCACAGTGCATGCATCTGGGGAGGTAGGATCTGGGGAAAAAGGGAACCACAAGTTTTCTTGCAAGATGAAAACTCCACGGAGCCCCAAAAGACTGAGATGATTGCACATAGCGGGGCAAAGACTAGATACCAGAGCAAATTCTCCAACAGGAGTTCTGGTTTTTAGAGCAACTCCTTAAGTATCTGCTGAACCTAAACATCCCACAGGGGTGACCTGCACATACAGAACAGTGTGTGCAAAGTCTTCTAGCAGGGACTAGGAAGGATAATTGCTGTGTTAAGTCTTCCCCTCAATAAACTGATGACACCAGGAAGCCTCCCACGTTGCCATCATCCCAAGGCCTTACTCTCTTCTCTCTAGATCTTCCTGAACCTAACAGCAGTAGTTACCAAGGTCACTTTAGCCTAGCAACTTATTGAATCACAGAATGATATGGGGTTGGAAGGGACCTCTGGAGATCATCTAGTCCAACCCCCTGCCAAAGCAGGTTGCACAGGAACGTGTCCAGGTGGGTTTGAATGTCTCCAGAGAAGGAGACTCCACCACCTCCCTGGGCAGCCTCTGCCAGGGCTCTGCCACCCTCACAGCAAAGTTCCTCCTCGTGTTTAGGTGGATCTCCTTATATTCAAGTTGGTGCCCATTTCCTCTTGTCCTGTCCCTGGGCTCCACTGACAAAAGACCAGCCCCATCCTCTTGACCCCCTCTCTTGAAGTATTTATAAGCCTTGATCAGATCCCCCCTCAGCCTTCTCTTCTCCAGACTCAAAAGACCCAAGTCCCTCAGCCTCTCCTCATAGGAGAGATGCTCCAGGCCCCTCATCATCTTTGTAGCCTCTGCTGGCCCCTCTCCAGCAGTTCCCTGTCCTTCTGGAACTGGGGAGCCCAGAACTGGACCCAGTGCTCCAGATGAGGCCTCCCCAGGGCAGAGCAGAGGGGCAGGATGACCTCTCTCCACCTGCTGGTCCCACTCTTCCTGATGCCCCTCAGGATGCCATTGGCCTTCTTGGCCACAAGGACACATTGCTGGCTCATGGTCATTCTATTGTCCACCAGGTCTTTCTTCTCAGAGGTTCTCTCCAGCTTTTGGAACTTCTTTTGGACTTCTATTTAAGAGGGTTAATGCATTAACTCTGTGGTACTGCACTGAGCTATTGAACACAACATTACCTCAAAACGGATAAGCTAGTTGTTGAGGTAATTTCTGTGTCATTCAAGACTGCACACAAAAAGGCGCCTCCATCCACACTTCTGATGTAGACCTTGCACCGAAACGGTCACAGTAAAACCCACGACATTCAGTAACAAAGTACACAATCCAAATTTGGGTAAAATTCCATGCTGAAAAAACAGAGCAATAGTCTGCTAAACACCCAAATGGTCTCAATACTTCTCTGCTCGTTTACATTTTTCTCCCTGGTGGCCCTTTACACAACTTGCAGGAGTATCACCGATGAGCCGGGAAGCGTAAAACAGTAATAAAACTTTAGTTCAACACGTTACACCTTTGTCTCTTGGAAAGAGGATGCAACTTAGAGCAGTACAATTGCTTTGGACTCAACAGCTGCTTCAACCCTTGTCTCCTTTCCCCTGGTGACCCAGTTACACCATTACAGCTGAGCTGCTGACACACTTGGCTGAGGCAACTCTTAAGTCTAGGGACTTCGACTGAAATCCACGATATTTCACAGGGACGCAGCGTAACTGCAATACAGACTTACCTTAGGAAGCTCAAAGTTACTGAAGACAGCTCAAAAAGCACAAGACAGAGTAACCTTTGTTTAAGTCTGACTTTTTGCTCTCCTTAGCATCAGTTGCTCTGGCACACTACAGAACAGCCAAAAATATTTTTCCTGCCTACTCGCATTGCAAAGTCATGATGAAACAGAGCCACAAATACAACGTTGAAATTGAACACTCAGTTTCCTCACAATAAGAATACTTTTTTTTTTTTTTTGCCAGAAACTTAAGCATTTCTCATAAAGGAAATTTCAACCACCGTTATCAATAAAAAAAAGCAACCAGGGGCCCAGCCATTACAGACAGACAAGTGTTTTTGACAGACCAAGGAAAACCTCCCCTCATTTGGATTAATGAGCAACATTCCCAGTGCAGACCATCTAAGTTTCCCTCAACCTTTCACAAGACCTCCTACTGCAGTTGTCTGCATCACCTCCCAGTTCCTCTGAGGGCCTCTAACAAAACCACAAGAAGGGAGGAGGATCTCAAGGCTTGTGTGTTCACTGCTATAACTTGAGGCACATTGCCAGAGCATCTTGCCATCGGGAACTGTTTAAAGCTCTTTCACCCAGTCCAAGGAAAGAAGGAAAACTGAGAGCCCTATTACCTGTTCTGAGCTTGCCTAGAGTTCTCAGCAGATCCCAGGAACCTCAAAGTTGACTGACTTGAGATGTTTTTCTCAATTATTTGCCCCATAACCAAGTTGGCACTGCGTAGAACAAGCACCCGCATCGGACTTTGACAAACTCTTTGACTAAAGGTGGTAGGTAAAAACCAGGAATCAGATAGGAAACATTTTACTAGCAAAACATCCTTTCAATAAGGAAAAACAAGGCTCTTTCAAGAAAATGTAAACAACGTAGCACTTATTCAAAACCAGCCTCTTCAGCATCCCATGCACTTTTTTCATATACTGCAAAAGCGTTACTGTTGTGCCGGTGGAGCAGTGCTGCTGTGAGCACACTGAACTCTAAAAGGAGCCTTTTGAGTATTCTTCCAGAGGGCCAATCTTTTGTTAATTATGCACCAATTTAGCTTTTTCATTGATATGTGACTCATCATTTCATAAGCCTCCCTCCTGAACAACGAGGACACAGAAATAGTCTGTAAACCCATTCCTTACCAGAACTAGCAAGATGGTTCAAACCTACAAAGTTAAGAATGCTTTAGCTCCTCTGGATTTACTGATTAATAATCCTCAATATCTGATGAATAATCCTCCAAAATATCAAGAAAAAAAAAATGGCAGTGCATTTCACACAGAACTTCAGATATATCTGGAGAGAGCCCCTGGATACACTGGTTATTTAACTGGTTGTCTGTTGCTGGCCACTTGGATGCCTACAAGAAGCAGTTACCTTCCTTCCTCACTCTAGATCTCTGCATTCAGTAAAAATTATCCATCTTCCAGGACTATTTCCTGGATTTCACACACACACACACTGCCTCTTCCAGCCAAACACTGGCTTCACAGCCATTTCCAACAGCTCACTACTTTCTAAAGGAGAGACATTCTGAAGCAGCCATCGAGGTGTGGTATGGAAGTCTCAGTCTGAGCTCTGCAATTTATTTGGGGTTTTTCTCCTCTTAAAACAGACATCCCAATCTTGTAATGGATAATTCTTCTATGGTGGACTTCACTGAAGGCAGTCACACAAAAAGCACTCAGCCCCACTTAAGCCTGTGCAACAGAATACAGAAAACTACGCAAAGTAACTGAGGGATTCAGAGCCTGAATTTGAACCAAGTTACTGACTGAGAGCTTAAAACATTTGCAGCTAAGAAATATATCTAAGAATTATATTTGAGAAACAAGAATGTTTTTAAAAAGGAACTTCTAGCAATTTTTTTTAATGTTTCCTCTCAACAAAAGAAGGCCTCAGAGGAAAGTCATCTCTGAATTTAGAAAGAACCAAGATTTATCATCTCTCCCACTGAAAATCTCATATAAGACCCTTTGGAAAACAAAATATTTCTCCTGTTTTATTTTTTATTCAAATCCATTTCAGAGCCCGTCTTACTCTGACTCACAGAGTTACTAAGCCAGCAGGATTGTTTAAGAAACAAAGCTGTACCACAGACAGTTGATGCTCCAGAAGACAAAAATCTAGACAAGCCAAGGAAGCCACAGCAGACTCTATATGGAAAGCCTCACGAGAAGGTGCCATTGACCAGGAACCTGAAAAAGTAAACTGTGGAACTAGAAATAAATAGATGGCATCACAACTGCTAAGCTTCTTGAATGCAGGAATATACACAAAACACAAGGAAAAAAAGTCCCCTTGTAATAGGGCCAGACGAGACCTGACTGACCAAGAGAAATCAGGTTTTTTTGGTGCTACACTAGCAGTTTGATGATGACTGATAATAGCTACGAAGGACTGTGAGGAAGGAAGAGGAAGAGCACAGACAGTGCATGCTTCCCTCAACGTGCCAAAATACAATTCAGATTTTGCAGAGGTTAGAAGCTGAAGTAACAACATCTGGCAAGAGCCTGCACTTGTGGTAAGAAGGACAGCTCTGTAGAAGGCCAGAGATTAAAAACTAAGAGTTTGAGGACAGCGATGTTAAAACCAAACAAGGAAAAAAAGAGGGAAGAGGAAGACAGACAACTATAGGTAAGATTCAAAAGCAAAATATCTGGCAAGCACGAAAGATTGCGTGTCTTCAGCATCAAGTTCACCTCAGTAAATAAGTCTCTAGTATTCAGAGATGGGAAAAGAGCCCATCCACAAAATTAGATGGATTCTGTAAAGAACAGAAAAGAGACCTGGGGAAGGAAAAACCTATGATAGACAGGAGAAAACCTGAGATCTAGAAGAAAAGAGTAGCCAAGACGTATTCATACAGCTGGAAATCACAGAAACCATCCAACCTTTCAAGAAATCTAAATGGTACCCAAGACTAGTTAGGCAAGAGCTGATTTTGGCAGAGTAAGAAGAAAACTTGGAGCTACTGATTCGTTTTTCAGAATGCTTCCACACACGAGCTAAATGAAGGACAGTGAAAGAGAACAGATGGTGAAAAAACATCAGTCAACTACAAACAGGTTTCAATGGAGTCAAGTGGGGGGACGGAGAATTAGGACAAAGTCAGCAAGTGGTGCAGAGAAAAAAAAAAGTGTCATAAGAAAGAAAGGGGGGAAAGAGAAAGAACAGAGAAATTAAAACTAAACTGTTCTTTTTCATCTCCGAAGTCTAATCAAAGTCTAAGGAAAGACTGCTGTACAGAAATAGGACATGCATTGCTGCACTAGTTTTTCTTAATCCCAGTTATATCACCAATTGTGATTTCTGTAGATAAAACAGCTACTGCAAGTAGCTACCGTGAGGCCAGGAAAAAAAAAATTCTTCTCCAACCACAGATTACAAAGAAGTGCTGAAGCAGCTACAGTGGGTATATTCTGTTTTTCAGAAGCATCGGCCACCTGTAACCACCAGAGGGAGATTTCCAAGTGTAACGGCACCAAAATAACCTTCTCAGGCTCTAACCAAGATTAAGATTCCATTGTGTTAATTCGTGAACGCAAATTAAGAAAATCCATAACTAAAGGGCATACGATGCAAGCAGATAAATTAAAGAGGAAGTAGATAGACTGAGTTTACTTCTTCCAAACTCACACAACAGGTTACCAGTAGAACTTGGAATAAGTCCTAGGGCAACAGAATGACATTTAGGGGATCTATCCACCGAAGCGCTACCTAGTAGACTGAAAATCCTATTACTGCTACGCCGTGACCAGGATTAGTTTTTCTACACAGCATGTGAGCAGTTCAATGCCTAACACCATCCATAAGCCATATTTTCAACAAAACAACCATCTAAAAAACAGAGAAAGCTGAGTTGATTTTCCTATCTAGCGTTTGTATTTTAGTTTTTGGATGATTCCAGTTCTCCACGGTAGCATATACGAGCACACATCCATCACCCAGGAAGAGCTTCAGGGGCAAGGGTTCAGGTCACAGCAGGAAGAAAAGGAGAGCTAGATCTTTACCTACTTCTCTTTCAAGACCCTAAAACTACTATCGAAGTTATTATTCACGATGAAGTGACAGAGTAGCTGAGTGACATGAGGTGTCAGGAGGATTTATCTCCTATTAATTCCAGTGACGGTTGTCACAGTCCTGCCTCCAAACAAAATCTCAGTGCCTGAGCACAAAGGTGTACTGAAATATGAATGGCACTGCCAAGTGGCTATTATATCTTGCTTACAGATTGCTTACCCAAAATCTGCCTTGTCCAAGAAAAGGATTCAGATTCAATACACAGGGAAAGGGCTACAAGGGCAACGAGAATACAGAGAATTAATCACAAGAGGAGATTAAAATTGTTCAGCTCGTAGCCTAGCAAAACCAGGTCTGACAGGAGATATTATGATTGTTATCTCTAAACACGCATCAGGACAATAAATGTGAAGGAGGGAAAAGAGTTCTTTAGACTCAAGGACAGTGCCGTTACACAAACAAGTGGATGTAAACTTCCAACAAGGAAGCTGAGGTTGGAAATCAGATGACTCTGTAATGGCAAGCTCTGCAGAAAAGCTCTGTGACAGCCAACATGCAGATGTGGATTGCACTCCAGAAAAAAGCAGCAATAGAAGGAAATCTCCAATGGCAGGTTTATCCACTAACACAACAGTATGTGAGGAGAAAGGCTGCCAGTGGAAGAAAAGCTTCTGCTGGTGCTAGACCCAAAAGTCTTCGGAATACAAAGTCAATTCAAAGAAAGAGAACTCCTCTTAGAGGTTCTCCAGCTTACCCTGTTAAACACCGGCAACATCATGTAAAGTTTTTCTTCTTGTTCTTTCTGGGTCATGTGCCGTGGAGGATGGCAGAGCTCTGTGAAGAGGCGACGCAGATGCATCAAGCCCAGAGCGTTATCCTGGGGGCTACACTCCTCCTGCCGCGGCCGGCCCATGATCCTCTTCACCATATTCATCTTGACTGACTTCTGGAAGTTCCCTTCTATCCTGTTGAGAAAGGAAAAAGGAACTCATTAAGTAGAACAGATCGAGGTGTTACTCCATCAAAGCCATAAAAAAAAATATAGCACCCTCTCTCACCCTAAGTCCCCACGCTGCAGATAAGAGCATTGGCTCATTTTATAGGCCAGGCATTGATCAGTAAGTGTCTGGAGAATTTAAAGGCAACAACTTGAAACAGGAAAATACTTCAGCACAAACTGACCGGGCTTCGAACACCGCTAAGCACTTTGGGACTATTTATTAGATTATTTTTATGATTCTTTAGTGCACATGCCACAGCGTGTACAGCAGCGTTATCTACACACCACAAAGTAGTCTCAAAATAATTCCAGAATAAAATCAGTACCAGTTATGTACTTTAAGCTTCTAAGCAAACAAGACCTTCAAACCCTCTCAGACATTGACTTTATCACACAGAGGCACGCTTAAATTTTTTACTGACTTTCCTATGGCAAATAGACAAGGCCATCCAATGGAGCTAGCGTTCATCTCACACCTCAGCTGTCCAGTTTGCAGAAGAACACCTCAGTCCTCTCCTTCCTGAAGCACAAGAAACCTGGTTTTGGAATTACAGAATGGTTTGGGTTGGAAGGGAACTTTAAAGATCATCTTTTCCAGTGGATGTCAGGGTGGCTGAAGTCCCCTACCAGAATCAGGGCCTGCAAGTGTGATGTTTCCTGCAGTTGAAGTCAGACATCCTCCCCTTGAGATGTGGTCTACACAAGTCAGTAGTATACACAAGTCAGAAGGTTTCCTTTGGTTGCTTTGTCTCTAATTTTCACCCATAAGCTCTCAACCCATGCATCGCTGTCTTTCAAAAAAAGAACCGTGCAATGAATCCATTTTTTAATGTAGAGGCCAACACCCCCACCTTTCCTTCCTTGCCTGTCCCACTAAACAGCTTCTAGCCATCTACACAGTGCTCCAACCAGGTGATTCATCCCACCAAGTTTCAGCGACAGTGGTCGGATGACAGCTTTCCACCTCCTCCTCATTGCTACCCGTGCTGCAAGCATTGGTATAGAAACACTTCAGTTTGATTGTCAACTCTCTCACCTTTTTGTAGGGCTGGGGCACATTCATCACTACTCTGGGAGGTGCACTCATCCACCCTGCTGCTTGCAAGCAGGCTTTGTCCCAGCTTTGAATCCCATTGCCCAAGCTCATTAGTTTAAAGTGTGATTCACTAAGTCAGCCAACCTGGCCCCAAAAATTCTCTTTCCTTTTCTGGGTAGTTGGATCCCATCTCTCCCCAATAACTTATATCCAGCAAAGAACGTCCCATGATGACAGAAGCTAAAGCTCTGGTGATGACACCAGCCACGAAGACAGGTGTTGAACTGCATGTTCAACTGGGAGCCTACATGAAGGCTGGGGAGAACCTGTTTAGAAAGGCCTGCAGTGACAGGACGAGGGGCAATGGCTTCAAGCTGGAGGGGAACAGATTTAGACTGGAGATGAGGAGGGGGTTCTTCACTGTGAGGGTGGTGGAGCACTGGAACAGGTTGCTCAGGGAGGTGGTTGAGGCCCCATCCCTGGAGATATTCAAGGAGAGGCTCGACGAGGCCCTGGGCAACCTGGTCTAGTTGGGGGTGTCCCTGCTGACTGCGGGGAGGTGGGACTAGATGGCCTTTGGAGGTCCCTTCTGGCCTGGGCAATTCTATGATTCTATGTTGTGCCAACCTCTGCCTGCACTGCTATCTCTGATTGGGAAGATGAAGTAGAAGATCACTTGGGTGCCTGTCCTCTTCACTCATACCCCCCAGGGCTCTGAAGTCCTGCTTGATGTTGCCCAGGTTCTGCTTCTACCGTATCTTTGGTGCCCACATGTTTTAAAACATCTAACAGATATGACACAGCATCTGCATTTAGCCCTGTATTAGTCTTCGAAACAACATGGACCAAATCTTCTGAACGTGAGACTGAAGTCCATGAAGCAGGACCTCGCACAAGGGTTGAGAGGCAGATAAATCCCTCAAAAGACATAGCCAATTGGACACTGCGGCAAAAGGGACTATTCCCACAACCACATTCAAGTAAGGAAAGGAGTAAGAGGGAAACGGTGAAACAGTTTCAGCTCCACACACCACGTTGAGGAGACCAACAATGAAATACTCTGCCCACCTCTTGCTGCTCAAAGGCGAAGGTCAGTAAGAGCTCTAAAAATTGTTCAAGGGTAGAAAACGCCTCACAGCAAGAGACGCCAAGAACTTAATTATTTAAATTATCAAAAAGAGAGTTTACCGTGAAAGGTCAATTATTAAAAGGAGAAGTGATGATTCCAAAGGTGCTGTGATTAGAGTAATGGAGGGAAAATGCCCATAACTGAAGAACTCACACCCAGAGATTAAGTTGTGAGGAAAGACACTGGTTGGGTGCTAATGTCAGGAAAATAACACTAGCTACAAACAAGGGCTACACTTTTAAAACTGAAGATAATTAACCGCTAATAAAAAGCATTATCAGAAGAAACATGTTCTCTCTCTAACCCAAGAACAAAACACCTTTCTGGAACACATTCATAAAACAGTATTTTACTAACATGCAAAAAAAAAATTAGGAAGCAATGCTAACAGATGTTTTGGTACAATGCAAAATTTAATTAATGAAACAAGAAGTACTCAAAAAAGCTAAGCTAATGTACAGTAACTGTCAGCCCATGCTGGAAGTTTGCACTGGCATTTCACATTTGAAGAAAAATGAGATTACTGTATTACCCCTAAGAAATAACACAGGTAACTAACTTCAAATTTGCATGATTCACACCGTTAAAAATGGAACAGCACACCTTCTGGGGGTGTTTACTCCAGAAACCCACACCTTCTCCCAAACTCTTCAGCTTGGGAACTCTTCCCTCACTATAATAACATGTAAACCAACCAAAACGCCGACCGGAATCCCACATCTGTGCTCAATGAGCCAAAACTTCACTGCCTAAGCAGCAAAGGCCATATTTTCATTTTCATAAAATCTTTTACAGATAATATCTTAAATTTCTCTTTACGATTCACAAAATGCTGAGAACTCTAAATCCAACATCCAGAACACATGTTGTCATGGAATCCACCACTGCTGGAAGACCTCTGCTAGAGCAGACAATTTTTCTTTTAAATCCCATTTCTTCATTCAGCCTAAGCACACACCTAGACCAAGAATTTGCACGGGTTCAGCCACACAGGTGTGGTTCCACATCTCACAACTTTCTTACCATTGGAGAAGTCCAAATAAATGCTACGTGCTCTTTTCTCAGTGTAGCAGGAGCCTACTGGGGTGGCTTCATAGAATCATAGAATTGCCCAGGCCGGAAGGGACCTCCAAAGCCCATCTAGTCCCACCTCCCCACAGTCAGCAGGGACACCCCCAACCAGACCAGGTTGCCCAGGGCCTCGTCGAGCCTCTCCTTGAATATCTCCAGGGATGGGGCCTCAACCACCTCCCTGGGCAACCTGTTCCAGTGCTCCACCACCCTCACAGTGAAGAACCCCCTCCTCATCTCCAGTCTAAATCTGTTCCCCTCCAGCTTGAAGCCATTGCCCCTCATCCTGTCACTACAGGCCTTTCTAAACAGGCTCTCCCCAGCCTTCCTGGAGGCCCCTTCAGGGACTGGAAGGCTGCTCTTAGGTCTCCCTGGAGCCTCCTCTTCTCCAGGCTGAACAACCCCAGCTCCCTCAGCCTGTCCTCGGAGCAGAGGTGCTCCATCCCCCTGATCATCCTTGTGGCCCTCCTCTGGACCCTCTCCATCAGGTCCATGTCCTTCTTCTATTGAGGGCTCCAGACCTGCACACAATACTCCAGGTGAGGTCTCACCAGAGCAGAGTAAAGCAGAAGAATCCCCTCTCTGGACCTGCTGGCAACGCAGCTTTTGATGCAGCCCAGGATGGGATTGGCCTTCTGGGCTGCAAGTGCCCACTGCCTGCTCATGTCCAGCTTCTCCTCCACCAGCACCCCCAAGTCCCTTTCCTCAGGGCTGCTTTCCAATACCTCACCCCCCAGTTTGTATTGGTGGCCAGGATTGTTCCGGCCCAGGTGCAGAACTTTGCATTTGCTCTTGTTGAACCTCATGAGGTTCACCTGGGCCCACCTCTCCAGCCTGTCCAGGTCCTTTTGGATGACATCCCGTCCCTCTGGTGTATCGACAACACCACACAGCTTGGTATTGTCCACAAACTTGCTGATGGTGCCTTTAATCTCCCTGTCTATATCATTGATAAAAATGTTAAACAGTATTGGCCCCAGCACGGACCCTTGAGGAACACCACTTGTGACTTCTCCAAGATGCGATCCATTCACCTCCACTGGGACAGTTTTACCCCAGAGGGATCACAAATGCAGAGAACAATTAAAGTCCTCCTCACTTTCTCAACACAGTCATGGTCCCTCCTGCCTAGTCCCTGGTACTATCACGCATTCAGCCTCAACGTAAAGGGATGGGGCAGAGAGGAGGGGAGAACAGATGTAGCATAGTGTAAATAATATCCAAATTCTTCATTTCGTTGGTTTTTTTTTTTTTCTACAAGTAATACAAAAGACACTACGAAATTGATATGGTCCATTCACGTACTTAATTCAGTTGGAACTCCAATCCCCACAAAAAAAAAAAAACAGAATCACAGAATCCTCTAGGTTGGAAGGGACCTTAAAGATCATCTTGTCCAACCGTCAACCTAATTCTGACAAAAATAGACACCCACACAACAAACAAGGAGCAGCATCACTAAACCAGACCTCCCAGCACTACATCAACCTGTCTTTTGAACGCCTCCAGGGATGGGGCCTCAACCACCTCCCTGGGCAGCCCATTCCAATGCCTGAGAACCCTTTCAGTGACAAAATTGTTCCTAATATCCAGCCTGAACCTCCCCTGGGGCAACTTGAGGCCATTTCCTCTTGTCCTGTCGCCTGTGACTTGAGAAAAGAGACCGACCCCCACCTCTCTACACCCTCCTTTCAGGGAGTTGGAGAGAGCAATAAGGTCTCCCCTCAGC